TCCCTGGTCCTCTTTCTCCTTCTCAACCACAGAGGGCAACTTCTCAAGACCTTCCTCGTGCTATTTCTCCGCCTCAACCGCCCTCCCGTTCCTTGGGCACTGACGAATCGCCCGGCGTTCTTCCCTGTTGATTCAAATCCTTGCACAAGATAACATGTTAGATAGTGCCCCAGCAAGACGGTGTAACATCGCTGACCCAGTTCTCTCCAGTCCGCAGACCAAGTGCCCCAGCAAGACGGTGTAATGTTGCTGACTCAGTTCTCTCCAGTCCGCGGACAAAGTGCCCTAGGATAGTAAAGTTGAAAGACCCAGTTTAACTTCTCACCGCCGTTCTCCTTGTGCTCTTTCTACTACTACTGAACAAGCCTCCCTTGTTTCGTGCAGTGGTGACACGGTATTCTTCCCTTTTGCATCCAATCCTTGCAAGGATGACATGTTAGAAAGTGCCCTAGCAAAGTAAAGCTACAGACCCAATTCTCATTCTCACCACCTTCCTCGTGCTCTTTCTCCTCCTCAAACGCCCACCCTTTTCTTGTGCAGCCATTAATCAGCCTTCATCCCTTTTGCTCGGGCTACTCCATTGAGTTTTCCAGTTCTACGATTGCTTTCTCTGATTTCTCATTTTCAGTAATTCAACAGAAAATTGTTTAACAGTAGTAGTAGGAAGTCTAGTCCGTTCTTTTTTCTTTTCAACTTTCAACACTTTTTTTTTTTTTTGGGTATCCATCTAAGCTACCAGCCAGGCCGTCCGGGTCACCCTGCTTTCCCGGGCGGCCCGGCTGTGCAAGGACCAGGAAAGGCCCCAGCCAAAAAAAAAAATAAAAAAATCCAAAAAATCCGAAAAAAAGCTATGTTATGCAGAAAAATAAACTGACAACTTTTGCCTCAAGGTTACATCAAAAATATTTACCAAATTTAAAATAAAAAATTAAAATAAAAAATATAATTTATTAATTCTATGTTTTTATTTTTTTATTTCTTGTTGGCCCGGCCGGGCAAGTGGACCCGGGCCACTCTGGTAGCCTAGGTATCCATTCCTTTTTTTCTTAAAGGTTGTGGAGGCGTCGGCGTTATGACTCAGGGAGGAAGTACGGCAGGGGGCTTCACACGCCCGGTTCAGCCCACCTGTCAGCACAGCAGACCCACCCACTCACTCAGGAATCACTCAAGATCGGAGTTCTAAGAGAGGGGGGAGAAGAGAGACCTTGCAACACACCCGAGAGTATCAGCCTGGACCAGAGCTACCAGGCCGCTGCGCCAGGACGCACCCCCGTCAAACTCAGGGTCCTGCATCTGCGAGGCACCCGGTCGGGAGCCAAGTGCGCAGCAGTCACCAGGTGCTGCGGGGATTAGAGTCGCTCCTGCTAGGAAGCGGGTGAGCCCTTCACTCCTCCCGTACTCATCCCCACTGAGCCTGCCCCTTCCAGAGCCGCTACCCCCCCCCCACAGCTCCAGCAACCCAAGGGGAGTCCCGCGCAGTCGTTCCGGAGGATCCAGGACTGCGCAGGGGATATTATCTGCTGGGCACCCTTGCATGTGGACCCCATGTCAGGTCTATGCGGATCCTTACATACATCCACGGCCCCTGCCCATGCGGACACTCAGTTTGTGAGTGGTAGTGCGTCAAACCTAACGCCATGCCGGCGGCCTATGCACGACCCTGCCAGGTTTGAGCCCGCAACCTCAGACCACACTGTGCATTTCCAACCGGTGCCCTAACCACTGGCCGACTGGGCCATCCGCCACTCCCGTGCTATCCATTCTTGTTCGACCCGTGGATTGACACATCGCATCCGTGCAAGGAGAACAAGTTAGAAAGTTCCACCGGCAAGGTAAAGCTACAGCCACCGTTTTCAACACCTTCCTCATGCTCCTCTTCCTCAACCACCCGCCCTTTTCTTGGGCAGTGATGAATCAGCATTTGTCCCTTTTACATCCGCTCTGTGCAAGGATAACGTGTTAGAAAGCGCCCTGCCGTTTTCACCCGAACAGAACGTCCCAGTCATTCTAACTGTATTTGGGGCAAATTTAAGTCCAGACAGCGATAATGATCGGGTGTTCTATTCAGGTAAAGACGGTAGCGTCCTCTCCCCGGACATCCATGAAAATCAGACAACACAGACTGTCACAGAGAAGACTAGCATCGCCCCTGCACAAGGATGACACACATAAGTCAAGAAGTGCTCCAAGGTCCTTCGGGACATCCGTTAAAATTGGAACGATACAGAGAAGATTATCTTGGCCCCTGCGCTTTCAAGGATGACACGCATAAATCGAGAAATGGTTAAAGAAAGAAAAAAAAGAAGTGCTACAAGTTGAAACAAAAAAAAAAAGAAAGACAGTGCCCTAGCTAGGGGTGAAGCTACACAACTCTTTCTCCTCCTTGAGCGCCCTCTCTTTTCTTCTGCCGCGATGAATCAGCTCGAAGATGCATTAGCCCATTTTGTTCCTACTTTCCACTCTCGTATCCAATCCTTCGTTTCTACTTCCCCCCCTTTTGCATCCAATAATTGCACACAAATAAATTAAATCACTACCTTCTTCCCCCAAATACAACGCACGATCATTATAGCTGTATCTAGACTGATAGATGCCTGAAATACAGCTATAATGACCGTACGTTGTATTTGGGTGAAGAAGGTAGATACGCTTAAGGTTAGACGTGTACACACAAAAAAAACAGATGTGTACACATACTACACAACAAAGAGGTCATTTCGACACTAAGTTCACAAACCCGATTCTGACTACCGATTCCTTCTCCATCTTTCTTTCCTACAATCCCCTTCACTTTTCCACACCCCCCTTCACTTTTCCACACACCCCTTTACTTTTCCACCCCCCCCCCCCCCCCCCCTACAACTCCCTTTTTAGCCCTTATAAAGACCTATCAGCATGACAACGCAGAATTCGGTACACAAATTAACTTGAATGAAGGCATACACACACC